ATTCCCCGGCGGAGGGCATTACACCGATAGCGCGTGATCTAATCGAATTCCCGGCAGCCGGGCTCGAGTCACCACGTGACGATTAGTGTTCTCCACGACGTCGTCGCGGGGGAGGCTGAGGTCGCTGAGGAAAGAGAGGGAGTTCGCCCCGCGTGATGCGTTTAAATGGCCGGCCGAGCGTCGTTGGGACCTCAGTTTAACCATTGCGTCGTGAAAACCGGTCCGAAATCTTATGTACCAGACGTACATAAATACTTATATGCATGTATTATAATTTGTAAATATTACTTTTTGAAAGCGGTTTTCTTATTTTCGCGTTTTGTTTTGACGTCCTCTTCAGCGGCTGGAGACTAGTTGGAGAACGAAACGCTACGAAGAGAGGACCAGCAGATTCTCCGGAAAACCAGAAAATTCGCAGGAGCAAATCCGCGGCGAATGTTCGCTTTTCTGACGAATGCCGACGAGAACCTTAATGGGGTTCGATCCGTGTGACTGTGATGCCTCGAAGTAGCAAAGAGGAAAATTCTCAAAATTGAAACGTGAAATTTCTTTCGAATTTCTCAAGGAGAAGAATTGACGCATTATTTGTCATTTTGTGATCCTTCTTCCTCTGCTTGAAAGGATAGACACTAAAAATCGAACGAAACGGATCTTCTTTAAGCCGAGTGTTTAGTAAACATCTAAGTGAGTGTATTTTTATTACATCCTTCTTTGCTTTAGTTTGTTTCTAGAATTATCAAAATTGAGATAAAAACTCTAGTAAAAAACATCCATAAAGATTGTAATTTGTTATTAAATTCGAGTTTTCTTTCTTTTTGAATTAAATATCTTGATGAACGATACTAATTTTAAAAATTAAAATTTTGCATTTTAAAGCTATAGAAATGGTTTACACTTATTATATGCATATTTCATTCATTATTTCAATAATTATTTAATAAAAATCTAATTAAAATAAAAATATTTAAAATATTAAATGTTTATATTTAATGTTTTATATTATTTTTATATTGATTAATTATATAAAGTCATAAAATTTATAAAAATATATAATTTACATGAACGACTTTTGTGCGATGACAAATTTAATTCAAATAAAATCACAATTAAAGTATTGAAATTATCATCAAGATAATAATTTTGAGAAATAGACTACATTATAACTATAAAAAATCTATTATAAATTATAGAAACTTATATTATAACTATATAAACATTGACTAGATAAGATTATCGTTACTAATGTCGTGTAATTTTGCAGTTTTAGATAAAAATTTTACTTAAAATAGTTTTACATAACGTAAAAAATAACTTTACACAACGTAAAATAGTTTTCATAATTATTAACGCGACGTTTCTCATAAAATATTGTATACACGTACAAAAAAGAAGCTAAGTCATCTGTCGATAATATTTCCTTGTTAATATTCGATTTGATTAATCATTAGATTGCAACAACTAATGTGACGATTATATGCAGTCGGAATGCGTTTATTCAATTAAATACACTGGTAAGGCGCTCGTTTATTCTCCGACTAATTCCGGTTCCAAATTTCCGTATCAACACATTCCGTTCGTACTTTCGTTTGATATGTAGTAGCCGATATATAGTAAATTTCTTCAACCGACCTCATCAACAATTATCTGTTTACAACAATGGCTCGCTTGTGTTTCCTTGATAAAATCTTTGTCAGGTATCCTATTTCAGACGATACTTCCCCGTGATTTTGTTCTTGATAAACCGAAGAATACTGAGAACTCGCGTGTCTTCGTCTGCGCGTATGATAACGATCAATTTTCCATTGATTTGTGCAAACTGATATTAATCCATCCGCCTGCGGTTTATCTGAGTTTTCGGTCTAGCATATAATTAGATGTAATTATGTACTCTAGTTCGCGGTGGCTACGACTTAGACCTTGACGCGAGAGAGTATCATTGTCAAAGCGATAAGCGGGCACGTTTTGCATTGCGCGTTTATCAATTGACGATCTTTTCACTTGCAACTGAGCCGATTCAAAGACTAATGCTTATTAATGCAACAAGATCTATGTGTATATGCATTCGGGAAACCGTCGAGCTTATCGAGGTGCACGTTTACAAAACAAACTTGAACACGTGAAGTTGGTACACTGAATTATATTTGTCACACATACATATTTTATGATATTTATTGATATATTCGCGATAATGTAATCCATAGATTGTGCTCGTTAAAAACGTGACAACGCACGCATATAAAGCAAAATAAAATATTATTTAAAGTGTCAACTGAATTTAAAATATATTATTGCGTAAGTTTTTCTTGAAATTCGATAACATCGATCGTCGCTAAATTAAAAACTTGTCAGTCTAAAAGAGCTCGAAACGAAAGAAAAATTTTATCTACTTTAAACGACGTCATTTTTCTGACAATATTTTTGAATACTTATCGCTGTATACTTATCGCTTTTTTGTGCAGTGTCACATATCGATAGTCACAATAGAAAATTTTTCCATAGGTGTCCTTCATTATTAACTTCTAAATGATTAATACGTAGCAATTTGAAATGAAAATGAATTATTAATACGATAAGAAAACTAGTTTTGATGCAATATATTTGTTTTTTCTTTTCTTTTTTATTTCAATCGACAACGCTCGAAATCATTAATCTTCCAGTTGTGTGGAATGCACGTGACAGATACGTAACAGTGAAACATTATATGCGATCGCAAATATTAATTGCCATTTTACATTCAATGTTTCTTAGTTTAAAAGAATGATGACGTTTACAATACCTGTTATAAATGTCAGTTTTTATTAGGAATTTTTTAATTGCAAAATATCGTTTAAAATGATTACAATTCAGAAATACGATTTCTTTAGAAAAGATCTATCAAAATGTAACAGGCACGGAATAAACTTTTTATAAATTTAACGATTTAGAATCTATAAATCAATTAATATAATTTTAATTCCACTATTTATGTATAAAACAATTTGAAAAACAATAAAATAAATTCTCATTTGAAGTACTAATAAAATAATTTTCTTCGCACGAGCAAAGTTAAAATATATTCTAATTTTAATTTTTTTATTATTAAATGAATATAACATGTAATAAATAGATATTTATTATTATTACTTACCATTACACTCTACTGCAAATAACTGTGACATCGTTAATATCATTTAACTTGAAACTTATTAAATTGCATGCATGCGTCTTGTTTTATTATTCCGTTTTCATTAGATGATTCAACGCAATTAATTGATTTAACCCACGGACAGGTATCTTAATTCACATTTATTTCCTCTTAAGACCGTGCTGACGTTCATTAAAACATGTAAACGTATTATGTGTGCGTGACTCACAAATCTCGGACAAACTATGCGTACAATCAGCGCGGAAATGAGGAAATTACTAGATTATCTGACTTATTGCTCAATATTTACGATATTTAAACAGATCATTTTTCTTCGGAATCCATGCAATAAGGAGACAAGGTATTTGTCGAAGTTATCATCGTAACATGAAACATTCGTGTATCGTCGCAGCCATTGTACAATCACGGAATAAACTTTTCTCCTTTCCGTTTTCATTTTGCTTTCATTTGTGTAAGCAAACATCGTGGTATTGGCGAAACAATCAGACGAAATGACGCCAGTCAATCGAATCCACTTGTAGTAATTGTGACTTCAAATAGTGAATTACGCCAGTTCTACCAAACACCGACCGCGTTCGTCGACGTGTCACACTTTGGTGCATAAGACGACATGTTTTATTTCAGTTTACATTTGGACACGTACGTTTGAAGATCTACCTCCTCGAACGAACGTCACTGAAACAGTAAGCTTTATTTATTCGTAAAATCGCGCGCAATAAAGAAGATACTCGATAGGAGCTCAATCTTAAGCTATGATAAAGAAGCTTTTATTTTATTTCTGTTTTAACAAGTTTATTAAGAGGACTCGTCGCCTTCATCGCAGTATTGTTATATAACTAGAAACAAAAAAGATAAGCGCGACTCTTAGAACTAAATTTAAATATGCACGAAACTTGGATCTTAAATATGCGCAAAGTGCATAGAGTTTAATTAACTCTTGATTAATTATAGAAATTAACGTTAAAATTATCTCAATAAGAGAGTCACGCCTTTCTATACAAAAAATACTACTCTACATCTCTCATATTGTATTATATTCATTGTGTATCAAGCACTATAATTATTTGATTAATGATAATGATGTTCATTGTGTAACGCATAAAAAGCATAAAGCATAAAAAGTGCACGAAAAGAAAAATGTTATTCAAATAAAATTTAATTAAACAAATTTTGTGGGCGATTACGATCAAGTGTGTGTGTGTGTGTGTGTGTGTGTGTGTGTGTGTGTGTGTGTGTGTGTGTCAGTGAAATCATAAATGCGAACGAGTTGTAAAAACAAAAACTGCAACGTTGATTCATCAATTTCGGAATCAATGAATCGAACGGAAAAGTATGTCAACAAAATTAATCATCTAGCTGATTGTACTCATTGCAATTGTTTGGCTAATTGTAATGATTAATGTAAAATTATGCATGTGTGCTTCGCGCTTACGCAATGCGAACAGCTTTGATATCGGAACATATCTTTCAAGCGAGGATTATCACACGGATTATCGCAAACATTATACGTCTGTCAAAGGAAAAAAGATCTCTAATGTCCGTTTCTGCAAATGTAGATTAACTTTACAAACTCTTTATCTTTTTCTAGTTCTAAGAATTCAAAAAAGATGAAGAGTAAGTTGAATCGACATTAAAGTTAGTTTACGTTGGTAGAAACAGGCATAAACGAGATCTAAATTAAATCCGTAAAAATTAGAGCTTTGAAACGCTTGGAGGTCGAGCAGACGGGCCACGAGCGTTTCGGGAAATCCGTGCCTCTTAAAATTAAACACCCGTAATGTACGGAATTGTAATTTCCCCACGGTTCTAAAGTGGATGGACGAAAGTTTTCCCTTTAATTTCAATAAAAAGAAAAAGCGCATGCGATATTCCCGTGTGCGGAATACACGCGCGAATGCACCGCTCGCGGCCACCAAGCGATATCGATCCGGAATACAAGATTTAAAAGTTATGAAACCGAGTGTCTTACATAAAATGGAAGCACTTATAGTTATTATGATAACCGCGTTCACGTAACGCAGCCGGCTTGCATTCGGGGGCTGCATCTGCGCGACAACACTTTTAATGAAAAAGGTCCAGCAGTCCTACAATGAGAAAAAAGACGTTTATGCCCGTTTCTATCAATGTAGTGAGATAAAAATTAATTTGTTTACTAGTCATAAGAATATTAATAAAAGAGTAATTGAATCGAACGAAATAAAAGAAAGGTCACGCACGAGCAAATGATTGTATCACAAATTGGAAACTAATTTAATGAAGCATAAATAACAAAGATTAAAACTAGTTTTCTTTTACAAAATTAAACAACTTAGGTACGTTTCGACTTCACTTACAATTAATTATCTTCAGCCAAATTAAAATTAAAATAGAAAAGAAATTAAGGGGTAACCTATGTAATCGGCTGTAAATAAGGTCTACGTTTGATAATCTTTTTTTGTTTTGTTTAATGAATCGTGCTATTAAAAATGAGTTTTATAACTTTACTAAGCACATAAAAAAGTACAAAAAATAATTTTTTAAGAATTTTATTTATCAAAATGCAGCAGCGTGATGGAGACAGTCGAAATATCATGGTGTTCCGCGGCTAGCGGCACAAGTGTCGTAATTTTTGATTTAGAACAAAAAAACAAATTTTTTTATTTTCTTTACTCAAATATCTACAGAAATACGTAGCCGTTTTTGAAACTATTGATTTTTGACAAAATGGCGGAAGTACAAACAAAAAGTTCCATTTTCGTCACAAAAATAGTCGAGTAAAACCAGCTGCAACTCAAAAAATTTGTAACTTATCAAAAAAATTCTACGTATTTCTTTAGAAAATGTGATTTGTTAAATACTGTTAAAATTTGAAGTAAATAGATTAAAAATTGTTTGAGTTCTAGCCAACTTAAAAAATACTGTTTTGAGAAAAACGCGTTTAAAGTTTTGAATGTAAATACTTTTAAGTTAACAATTGAATTTTTAGGAGCCTATAACTTTCGAAAAAAATTATGTATCGCAATAAAACCACTTGCATTTCATTTTTGAGACCCTAAAGTGTATTTTAAAAGGAAAAAAAATTGACTTTTTGAAAATTTTACATAGGTGTTACCCCTTAAGAGATTAAATATACATAGAGACTTGTTAAATAGATCTCATTAGAAAGATTCCAAAACATATTGTAAAAAAAGCGATAAAGAGTTGAATCGAAATTAAAGTTAATCTACATTGAGATAGAAATGGACGTTAATCAGATAAAATTCTTCACAAACGTCGAATTTATTTAACAGATGCAATATGATAAATTTTATCGAGTAAATTTTGATGAACTGAATTAATATATTTATATGTTACTAAATTAATAATAATTAATGAAGTAATAATAAATTCTGTATAATTATAAATATTAAACATGTAATTTCTTCTTCATTAACCTACTTTTTGTTTGGATAGAAACAATCGTCACGTCGCTTTCGTTTATTCGCAATAAACAGATTTCTTACTGCGGCTATAGTCTATAGTGACAGACTTTGCTTCACGAATGTCGGAGCGAGTGCCGCGGATCACGTCGAATCTAATCATCTTATTTATAATATATATATATAGTAATATTTTCATATAATGTATTTTTCCTATAATGGACGAGGTAGGGTAAGTTAAAAACATTCTCGTGACAATATCGCCTTGACTGCAATTAATACTTGGTTCACGGTCAAGTTTAATAGACTTGTGGTGTCTTCACTCGTGAATATCATCTCCAATCGTCTTAACTAACGATCAAAGTGTGACGATCGCGTTGTCACATGTTACGATTAATCTAATCGCCATCGAAAACCCGTGATATTTTTAATTCTTTCAAAACATGAAAGATCTCTTCTTTTATAAATAAATCATTTTCCTTTTTCTTCATTTATATCTTATTTTATCTTTTTTTTATCTTCTTACAAACACATACATTATTTTATTCCAAATAACGTTTGTAAACAGAAAGGTTTGTCGATCGTAGACTGAACCTCATATTAATTGGTATTTTACGTTTTCAGAATGAAAGACGGTAATAGTTCGAACAGCAGGCAGGGTTTGGAAGGCTATGTGAATCATGGCTTAATAAACGAATCCACCAACAATGTGGATCTCATTCATTCATTTCGATCTCTTCACAATTCGCACGGGAACCATCGTGACATGCAGGGCTCTTCAGATTTCATCTGTAAGTTCTAAATGAAAATACAAAAAGTCATATTTTTCGCTAAACTGCACAGAGACTAGATACTCAGAAAGAGAATATTAATATTAAAGCAGTTTGATAAATCAATAACTTCTATTTTTTAATCAAAATTTGATTTATTTTCTAACATTGTCTTCTTTTAAAAAGTCACTGATTTATCAAACTGTCCATGAATAAACATACGCTCTATTCACAATTTTTCATATATTTTAAAAAATAATTCACTTCTCTATGCGGCAAGGATGTCACAAAAGTGAGTATCTATCGTAAAACTTCATGTTCAGACAAGTATGTAATAGCGACTCATCTGACGAAATCAGCTGAAATCTCGCTTGTTGTATACTTTATGTATATCACGAGAGTGATAATGATAGATTTACTATCTAAACTCAATTTCACAGAGATAATTTGAATTGTCTCTGTCGTGTTGTCAGTTACGTCATCTTGAAACGTAAAATAAGAAGATACGCCCGCAATTAAATTTTAAAGTAGCAAATGCTAAATGTTTGAAGAATTTTTAATTTAGTTTTACATAACAATCAGTATTGGATCTTATCTAGATAACATTATCTAGACGATCATCTAGATGAAACTTTGATGTCATCTTATCTTTATCTGCATCTTTAATGAAAAAAAGTGTCATCTTTACCTAGAATAACATTTAGATAATTTAGTTTACATTTTACATTGCTGAAAATGTGTTGAATATTGAAATATTTGCTTTTATGTATAATAGTTCATGTTTGCAGAAAAATTTTTAGCCTCAAGGAGGAAGTAGGTGCATCCAATAGTAGATAGGTCTGTTCGCGTTGCTTGCACTTTTTGTATTCGGCACCTTCGTTGTCTCTCTTTTCAAGGCTAAATATAAGTATGTATATCTATCTTATTTTAAATGTAAAAATATTTAGGGATTTGATGCAATGCGAACAGACCTTATATAACTACTCACTTGCACTCAAATGATTTGAGAGTTGATTGTGTATCTTGAAATGAGGAGAAAATTACAAAAGTGAGAAATTCACTAAATATTAACCAATTAAATTATAACTATTCTAGTGTGAATTTACTCACTTTTGCAATTTTTACCTTATTTAGAGATACACAATCGACCCTCTGCATAATCGACCCACTGCTTTTTATTTTTGCACTAGACGTGCAAAGAGTTGTAGTGCATAGAACTCTCTTTCTCTCTTTCGTCAAATATCAAACATATAATACCTATCTCATTTTAAGTTCAAAAATTGTACACTAGTTCAGCCACAGAAAAGGTAAAGCAAAATCTTATATTTTTTATTAACTGTGAGTAATAATGAAATTAAATTAAAACTAATAAGTTATAGACTCCTTTAATTGATACAACACACACACACACACACACACACACACAAACAATAAAAAAATTCATGCAAAAGGCTATAGGAGTCAACCTCTGGCTGTTAAAAATTTCGAGATATACATTTAATTAATAATACTGTATGATTTCGTACGTTTCGACTCCTGTTTGAGTCATCTTCAGCGTTACAACCTTTTAATATTACAGCAATTAATATATCGCAGTCAATGTCTTCAAAGTTTTCTCTCCTTTTGTATGTGACCGTTGTGGATAAAAACTCAAGCTAAAATTTAAAAACATCGTTAAAGAAAGTGAATAATATAGAGGACAACAGAAATAAAAATTGTCTCACCTCACGGAGTCAACAAGTCACATACAAAGCAATAGTAAATCACATGAGAATTGCAGAATGTCATCGCAAATTAAAATTAAAGACATTTACTGCGATATTAATTGTTGTAATATTAAGGTTGTAAGGCTGAAGATGACTCAAACAGAAGTCGAAATCATATGTTATTATTAATTAAATGTACATCTTGAAATTTTTAACCAGAAGTCCTACAGCCTTTCGTATGAATTTTTTTATTATTTGTTGTAACTGTAAGCATAAGTCTTTAGAATAAAAAAAAATTGTCTGAAAAATTTCAGATGAATTTTCAGATAAATTTATCCAGATTATCTAGATAAATTTAATAGAATCATCTTTATCTTATCTAAGATAAATTTCCAAATTTTCATCTTATCTTTATCTAGCTAATTTTAAAATCATCTATGCACAACACTGATAACAATGTATAATAGAAGCGGCGATAAATATTTTCTGATCTGTTTACATTTTCATGTAAATTTATTGATATCGATCTTCGATCAAACCTCGGATTAACGTAAGCCGCGGCCCCAATTTATTCACTACTACAAAGATAAAGGCTCTTGCCTCAACTGCATCATATTTATAGTAGTCGTTGATAAAAAAATTCTGTGATAAAATTTTATCGATAATTGCTGTTTTTCATATTTAATATGATAACAATAAACTCCATTTCGATAAGCAATTTTATGAAAATATTACAAGACATTTTACAAATGATCAACGTAAATTAAGCTAAAGAAACAGAAAAGATAAAGATAAACTGTCGCATGAAAATGTATTTATTCTAATATTCAAAAAATTTATTTAATATATTAGAATGCATGATGCGTTATTAATCATTTCTATATTTTTTTCAGTAAAATAATATCACATAATATAAAACATCAAAATTTTAATTTGACAAAGGCTCTCAGATTCAATAGAATTAATTTTCGATGTGAGATATGGGCAATTGAGAGCAAACGCAGTTAAATTTAACGTATATCTATTTCTGTATAATAATACCAAAAATAATAAGTTTATAACATTATTTCTTTATTAATACGAACGTTTCGACTTTGTTTAAGTCATCTTCAGCGTATATCACTGCTTATAATTTGAAGTTTTCATTACTTGGTGGGTTGAGATGATTGCCAATTCGAGTATTGAGAATAACCTCTTTAACTAGCTGTGTGACTGTTAAGATCCAACACACCAGGTATACGTATAACATTGTAGGAGCGCCATAATGATAATATACAATTAAAGTTGATTAACTTCATTTTTAGAATATTAATTACGCTAAAACATGTTCTAGAGTAATTAATATTCTAAAAATGAAGTTAATCAACTTTAATTGTATATTATCATTATCTCACATTATTGCCCGTACATTATCACCCATATCTCACATTGAAAATTCATATCACATAAATTTACATGCGTCCCGCATGCATCAATCGTCCTGTGTATTACGTATAGAAGTAATAACAAACAGAAATATCTCTAATAATAAAATAAATAATTAAAAAATTTTTCGATCGTATATTTTTGGGAACTACTATCAAAATTGCTATGCATCTGGTGGCAAATTCTACATTAACGAGTGCAAGATTATGGTAATGTGCCTTCATGCACGTCGTCAATGATTTTATTTCGCGAAACTGGTTCGCCTTCCTTGGCGGGCGGATGAAAGATCGGTCTTCTGAACAGCGCGTAATGCTTTTAGAAATATATCTCAGCGTGTGTATACGGTAGTATATGTATATACGATCATATATATTTTTTTCCCTTCTTCTTTTCGCCGAGATAATAAATTCAAGTGTCGCGCTGTCTGTATGAGAGTAGGTACAAGAGCTCCGTCCTTGTTACCGTGCTTGTCACGTTGCGTTTTTGCGTACTGCACGAAATTATTTATGGGCTAACGTGGCGAACCGCGAATGATACGACAGATGTGAATCCCCCGTGTTAAAAGTACATGGCCACGATGAAGTTTAGCCAGCTGGTTTTTTCAGATTGTTCTTATTTGCTTTACAAGTGGATGAAAAAATTATTAAAAAGGGACTGAAAACATTTTTGCATTTAGCCATCACAAACGTCAAGGCAAAAACATATCTTCTTAACACGATCAAATTTTATAGAACTAAGAATGAAAATAATAACACCGGAAACGTGAACAGATCAATAGACTATATAAGTCAATAAACTATAAATTGATAGATGAAAAATTACGATTGCAGTTAATAATAGATCCTTTAAATATAATAAGTATTATAAAATAAATTTTTATATAGTATATATATATATATATACATAAAAGAATATATAAATAAATAAAGGGCTGAACTTATATTTTTTATATTTTTATTGACATTTAAGCTCACACATAAATAGAATACAGGATAAAATTATTTATAGCTTAATATTTGATGCCTGATGCATTCAAATACATACATATATAAAATAAGTTTGCTAAGTATTAGAATAAAAAACATTTTTATACGGTATAGTTTATTTTTATCTTAAAGGAAAATTAAGAATGTTATAACTCTTGCTATCATATTCTTATCATAAAATTATGTGCGAATAGTGATCGAAGAACCGGGGGATGACGAGGCCAAGCAGAAGGAAGGTCTTCTGAAATCACTATTGCAGTACACGAGGCGGCGTGCCAAGGCCATATGCACGAAGAAGACCCTTTACAAGAGACTGCCGATCTTGAACTGGCTGCCAAGGTACAACACTCAAGATGCACTCGGAGATCTAGTGGCTGGGATCACCGTAGGCCTCACCGTTATTCCTCAGTCGCTGGCATACGCAAGAGTCGCCGGTTTACCGACGCAGGTACATAAACAGACGAGACAATCATCGCTCATATAATGATCTTACATAGAATTACGGAGAGTTGCATAAGAATCACCTTACGTTAGTACAGACGTTTGATCAAATGATCTTTTATTCACACATAAAAATTATTAAAAAAGAAAAAGAACGAAATTGAAATAGCTTTCAAAAAAAGAATGTGAAAATTCCTCCAAATTTTCAAGAGATATGGAAACAAATAATAACTATTAAATATTATTAAATATTAATTATGTTTTTTAGTTAATTACAAATAAATTTACTTTGATAAAGTTTTGTTAATAAAAGCTTGATGCTTATTCGATAATGAAAATTAAAAAGCAACTATCTTTTTTTGTATTAAAAAAATTGATTGGTATCTTTTATATTTTCTGTACATATATATCACTTTTTATTTCAGTACGGTTTATACGGCAGCTTCCTAGGTTGCTTTATATATGTAATTTTGGGATCCTGCAAAGATGTACCTATGGGACCTACTGCTATAATATCTTTGTTGACTTATCAAACAGTGTCTCACTTAGACTCTCCGGCGATGTATGCAATTTTATTATCCTTTTTGTCCGGAATTGTGGAGTTAATAATGGGTATATTTGGCCTCGGTAAGTCATCTTCAATAATTTGTTAAGATTAATTTGAAAACATCTAAAAAAAAATGTCAATATTAAGTTACATAAAATAGCGGTATTAAATAATAATTTAACATGAATTACATATTGTAACATTTCTAAATTAACTTCACAATTAATGCTTCAAAATTAAATTCAAAATAAAAATAAAATAATTATAAAATATTATAAAAATAAAACTATTAAGAAACGCTTTAGTTAAACTTTTTGACATTTTTGAACATGAATTACAACAGTCACGTTATTTCTCGTTCTATTTAAATATTAAAATATTGCTTCTCTTTTGAAATTTTATTTTTATTGCGCAACGTGAAATGAATAAAATAATTGAGATTATATTTTGTTTTTTAAAGGATTTCTAATAGATTTCGTGTCTGGGCCAGTAAGTTCTGGTTTTACCTCAGCAGTGGCTTTGATAATCGTTACGTCGCAAATCAAAGACATCCTCGGTATTCCTGCCAAAGGTTCTCAGTTTATTGAGATGTGGCAGAGTATCGGTGGACTGATACATATGACATCCACCTGGGACACTATTTTGGGAATGTCCTGCATAGCATTGCTATTAATTCTAAGGGTATTTATTTAATATAAGAAATATTTGCGAGAAATTATTAAAAACCTCTCTCAACGCAACGTTAATATTTAAATTTAATTAAGCGATTTATGATGGATATCGTTCACATGGAATATAAATTTAATACTGAGCTTTTGTTTTTAAAATACGAACAAAAATAAATTGCGAAATAAAATACGAACAAATATAAATTTAATACAGAGAGTATTTTGTTTAAAAGAGAAAAGAAAATAAATTATATATAGCTGCACGTAATCCTAAATAAATATTTGTAACAAACAGAGAGGCAAAACGATAAAATTATTAACGCGAAATTCAATAAAGCGGTTCAAAATTTTTAATAATAATATTAAATTTAATATTAATATTACTACGATTGCAATAAAGTAATATTTTTATACGTAACATTTTTATTACAGTTACTAGGTTCATTCAAAATCGGCCCGAAAAAAGAGGAGCTTCTTACTACAAAACATCGCATCGTGAATAAAATCATTTGGCTGATCAGCACCTCGCGAAACGCCATTTTAGTAATAATTTGTGGTTTAATAGGCTGGAGCTTTTCGAACGAGCCGCCTGTCCAACTGATCGGTATGAGACACAAATAAAATCTCTTTTTTTTTAAACTGGCTGTGTAATCGAAAAACAAACTTTCATTAAATTTTTTATTAAAAGTTTATAAGTTTGTTTTTTTTAATTTAAAAAAGAACTACAATCACATGTTTGAATTACAATATAAATAAATGCAAAATTTCATGTAAAACTGTGCCAACAATCTGTAAAAATTTCGATTATTAATTATAGTAATATGAAATATTATATAAAATTTATTTTGGTTACATATATTTTATTGTAAAAGAAATTATATTATTAAATATATCGTGATGTAAAAGAATGCCCTATAAGATGTTCCAAAAATAAAGCACAGTAAAATTTCTTATTTCAGGCCACATAACGGGAGGCATGCCTACTGTACAAATTCCACCGTTCGGATTCACCAAAGGCAACACGACGGTCACGTTTATCGAGATGCTTGGTAATTTGGGCAGTGGTCTCATCGTTATACCACTCATCTCTCTAATGGAAGATATCGCTATTTGCAAGGCTTTCGGTAAGAGTACCTTACTTTAGAAAGTTACAAGACGATACTATTCTCTGCTGTATTTCCATATTAAGAATTGATCTGACTTTAATTGAAAGAACAATTTTTATCTTCTCATGATCGAATTTCTTAGTTGAACTTATTGCACATTTAGAAGCCTATCGTATATTTAATTAAGACGGTTATTTACGGAATTTATGCGTTTTTTACAGCCAATGGAAAATCAGTGGACGCTACGCAGGAGCTGATAGCTATTGGTATAACGAATATTGGAAATTCCTTTGTGCAAGCTTTTCCGAGCACGGGATCCCTTAGCAGGAGCGCAGTGAACAACGCTTCTGGTGTTAAGACACCATTTGGTGGCATTTACACTGGTGAGTTTCACTTCTAATTTTTGCAAATTATTATATCTATTTATCTTTTGTCGAACGTAAAGTTAAAAACGGGAAAAATCGGAGAATAACTTTTTTTAATTATATTTTTATAAAAATTACTTGCGTGCCTTTGCTGAATTTCATCAATATAATATACATGGAAAGAACGATTTCGATGAAGTATCTAATTTAGATACAAATTTAGATCAAGAAAAGATAGATACAGCCACATAAAATTATAAAATAATTTCATATGATCATATAATTTGATCATATGATCAAAATAATTTTATGTCAATATAAATAATTTTGTATTAATAAAAACCATCAAAATTTAAGATATTTAAACTAGTTGCTGGAATATTAATTTTTTAGCATTGTCATCAAGTTTAGACGTTTTACATAATTATTTTGATAGTTCAACAAAATTATTTTCAGATCTGGCTAAATTTTGAAATATTTTAGCAAAACCATTCTTCCCGTGTACACACGTATCTATATTTCCACAATGTTCAAATCACATTTCGCTTAAATTTACCGATCGATCAATATTACAGAAGGAATTAGCTGTAATTGTGATATAATTGTGTGTGTGTTTCAGGTTTATTGGTAATTTTAGCTCTGCTATTCCTCATCCCATACTTCAGTTTCATTCCACGTGCCACTTTGGCGGCGATCATTATCGCCGCAGTGATCTTCATGGTTGAAGTCAAAGTGGTGAAGCCGATGTGGAGGACGAAAAGTAAGAGCGCGTGTTTTTCATTAGTACACAAATACATTTAAACAATACGCCACGAAAAATTAACTATCTCCCTTCTGTGTCGCAGAATCGGATCTCATCCCGGGGGTAGGCACATTCATCGCTTGTTTAGTACTGCAATTGGAGATCGGTATCCTCTGCGGAATCGGAATAAATATTCTCTTCATCCTATATCACGCTGCCAGGCCGAAAATATCTGTAGAGAAACTTAAGGTAATTATTGATATTTTTACTTAAAAATACAAAACCAGTCACGATCTGTTTTAACTCTTCAATTCACTCCGTTCTTGATTCAAGAATTCGGATTGGCACGCATTCATTGCAGATTTGAGCGATATATTTTATAATGTCTATTCCCATTTTTTTATTTTGTTCGACAGACTCGTCACGGTATCGAGTATCTAATGCTGACACCGGATCGTTGCTTGATCTTCCCTTCAGTAGACTACGTCCGCAATTTGGTGACCAAGTACAGCCGACGCGCCGAGAGCATCGCGACGCCGGTCGTGATTGACTGTTCGCACATTTACGGTGCAGACTTCACAGCTGCCACAGTCATCGAGATCCTGACAAAGGATTTCGCCAAAAGAGGCCAGCCGCTATTCTTCTACAACTTAAAACCGTCAGTGAACGCTGTATTCGAAGGCGTCGACCCCACGGACTTCATCGTCTACTATAATCAGGAAACGTTAGACGACTTGCTGAAGGAGAAGGGCTACACGAAGCATATTCAATAGAAGCCCCATGAAACAGTTAAGATATTGTTTCCGATCGTGAAAGATATAATTTGTACTTTCATAGCGTGTTCCTCGAGGCTGTTATCGGGACTCAATAGCCGACTACCAAAAATGCACGAGACTCGAGAGATTTTCGAACATCTCCCGATTCTTAACGCAGTCAACTAGACTGCAAGGCAGATCGTGAATCTTTTTATATCGCCATGAAAGCGAAATTTTTATGAAACAAATTATGTATTTACTCCCTAAAACTTTTGGAATAAAATCTAATTCTAAACAGTGAAATCTCACTCTCAAAAATTAATAATTGAGCCACTCTGTTTTAACATTGGCTCAATCGTCACTCTTTGCCACTCTTTAATAGAATTAGATTCCACTCCAAAGATTAATCTTTGATTCTCTGAAATTTTAGAGAGTATACATCTTCGTTAATTCAACGGTGTTTCGCTTGAAATTCCGAACTATAACATCAATAAAAAACGTAAAAAATATCGTTGACCTAACGACAATGCCTAAAAGTTCAAAAATGCAGCTTTAATATATAGCTCATTTAAATGAAATAATTTTGATTCGCGCGTATAGTATAATCAATTGGAAAAAGCAGGAAAAATGCTGAAGATTGTTCATGCATATATCTTGAACATATTTCAAGTATATGTATATGTCGGTATGGGTATATAATACTGCTGTCGTTATATATCTCGGAGAAAGAGAGATATTATACGTAGGAAAATCAGCTTGGAAATATTCTATGCGATAAGATACTACAGAAATTTCAGAAGCGAACGTCCGACTTATACGAACGCATGAAAAATTAAATATAGCTTAGAAAGCGCCTTTTAGACATTTTAAATATCTCATAGATTCTTGACGAAATTCTTATCTCGTCTAAGTATTTATTTAACTTCGTGATGAAGTAGAAAAACATCTGCGTGACGTTATCAAATCGATATCACTCAGCGTTTCTCGTATTTAAACCCTTTCACGCTATTTGAAATTCACGAAGAAGTTTCCATTGTACATTTTTATACACCTGCTGTTTCATACAAAACAGCATCTTCTACATTATAGGAGCGCGTGTACGTAAGATATAATAAGTTCGAACGATACTGTGATAATTTTATAAACAATATGTCTGGCGGACAATCTGGCGCGGCGGAGAGATATTCATACGGCGTATGTGAATATTATAGATCTCTCTCGTAGAATTTTTAAAAACGTTTACTGCATCGATGATGCGTGATTCATAGTCTACACGCGTCAACAAAAAGTTTGCAGAGCGTAATCAGTTTACGATTATTTTCGATCGATATGCATAAAAGAACCGTTTTTTTCCATTATATTTCCGCATGTTTAAAGTTTTTTTATTAAAGAACCGCTATAAAAATAATTAATCATATATATGTTATAATAATAATCGCAAAAATAATTTTATGTTATTATTATAACTGTAACGATATCATAATAACGAGGAGAGCTTACAATTTAATTTTATGTAAGTTAAATGAACTGAAAGTTTTTAAACCATGCGGTAATATAATAGCAAAAGCAAAAGTTGTTGTGTTCTTTCGATAGCGATAAATTTTCATCGTTAAAAGATGGATTTAATGCGGCTTGTTACTTCGGCGAGATAATGTCGATATTAATCTGTAGAGAAATAATAATTGCAACTATGAGTAATTATGTTACATAAAAAAAGATTATAGAGTCCTGTGGTAAATTACTTAATAGCGCTGCGTCTGTTCTATCGAAGATAATAAGCATCATTCACTCGATAGACTTATAAGTGATTCATGTATAAATCTATTGGAATTAATTGTTTTATATTTACATACATATATGTATGTATATATATTTATATATATTAATTAATATATAATTATAAATACATATTTGTGTATTAATTTTCTTTATCATTTTCAGTCCCCAGCATGAAAAAACGCAATTAGTTTCGAAACAATCTTTGCTAGATCAGTAACGCGTTGCATATTTCTTACGCGAAAATAACACAATAATTAAATAGTCACAAAAAACGCAAAAGATAACATTCTAAGATAAAAATCATAAAAAAAGAACCTAAAATGACATCCTCTTTACGGTATTCCTCGCGATTTTTGCACGGTCTAACAATAAATTTATAATTATTTTAATTTTAAAGATTAAAACATCAAATTATCTCATCTACCTTAGATCGCCAGGCTTGAATCAATGAAAGAAATCATCTTTATATGTAAAGTAAATTTTATAGAGCGGTATTCAAAAATGATTTGAAAAGCATTATTATGCAAAATCACCCTCTTTTTTCCACCCATATGTATTCGGCACCCCTTATTATATGTGTGCAATGTAATACTCGTCTCTCGGTACTACGAATAATGATGTATACTCCATGAATCGGTCCATCGAAGGTCACTCTCGCGCTCTCATTAACCTGATCGTTCATCGGCAGATATATCTTATCCCTATACACCGCATTATATAGGGCGATGGTCTCCCTTCTCCCAGCCGGCCGAGCGTTATCGATTGTTACGAACACCGTCGTCAGAACCGTAGCCGAGGATCGCGGCACCTACAGACAAGTAAAAAATTCTCGGATTACAATTTTTAGAAAAAAAAAGAAAGAAACCAAAAATCTATTGCAGAGTTTTGGGAAAAGCTAGTGATAGCAAACGTAACGATGGTTACAACCGAGCTTACAGTTGACTCGCGGTTAATATAGGTGCCGATGGGGTCCTCAGCTTCCTTTCATCTCGCGGGATAAGGGTGATATCTCGCGTACGGACAACGTCGCGACGCGTCGACTTTCCGTCGATTGTAACACGCATGACGACAGAAGTGGCGCCGGCTAGAAACGGGGACCGCGGATCAGTTACGGGTCTGCTCGTGCAGTTTGATAACGTGCTAAATGTGCACTTTCCGCGCGCGAGACCGTGTGTCCGCATCCGCAACCCTCCACCGGCTGCGCCAGTCGCACGTTGGCCGATGACGGACGCGCACGGGGTGAAAGTAAACGTGTCTCCGACCGGCGACACGCTTCTCCGGGGTAAGTGTAATCCGAACTTTGAATTTAGTCGTTCCAGTTTGTCCAGTGGAGTGCCCGGACTCTCCGGGCATTCCCGGGACGTCCTGTCGTTTCAGAAATTCCCGGGGGTGACAAACATTTCTTATAATTTATTCTGCTTTCGAGTTAAGCGGATTGGAGGGATCCGCTTTTGCATTTTATTTCTCATCTCCAAACACAAAGAACATGAGAACAACACTGACTTTGATGCGAAATTACTTTGTGTTTTATGGAAATAGAAAGAGTACACAAGAAATGAAACGAATCCATTATGCATTTCAGAGCTTTTTACATGCACGTTGGGATTATGTAATTTTTGAGAAATACATTTTCCGAGTATACGAAAATCTAACTGCTTTCAGATATTTTGATGGGCATTTCGGAAACTTGAAAAATATAAAAATATGCTCTACGTTTTATTCAATGTATCTTCTTATTATAATTTTATTCATATTGCAACCTTTATAGAAATCCAATGTAATATACTGATCAATTTTATGCTAAAAATTAGAGTAAAGCTGGGTTATTTGAGCATAGGGGCAAGTTGGTCAAATGCAAATATCTAAATAACCAAAAAATATATAGATACGTCTATGCTTGGGTAATGTAGTACAAAGATAGTGATTACTGTATCTTAGTACAATAATCTGTGTCCGACTGTCAACAGCCAAATACGTAGAGAAAAGTCGCCGATACCGACATACCGCTTTATTTTTAGCCAATATTTCTTAAACAAAAGATAAAAATAAAACTTTAAAAACGTAAGTACAAACTGAAAAGTGTCTTCTATCAGATAGTATAAGTAGTTTTTATAATACTGTTTGCAATTTTGCAATAATTAATTTTTTCGTAAGGTAAGCAAAAATGAGCGTCTGATAAAATGGGCTCCAAAACTGACACAGTAGATAGTAATGCTACGTATTCATATTCTTTTTTATTTTACAAACATTATCTGAATAAAGTACCTACAAATGAATGTATATAAGATTTTCCAGAATTTTTTCACTTCGTTATAAAATATTTTTATTGAATTATATGCACAAATATTTTATGCTGTTCTGCAAATATGTAATGCGAAAGTTTTTCAAGAATTTTTCCATATATGCACGATTGCCTTCACACTATAAAGCACCATTATAAAGATTAAGTTAAGACGTAATATTATTAATAATATAGTCACTATTATTTAAACCACGCAATTTGCAAAAGAAAATCGTAAGAATTTTATTTTCGCATTCGTAAAATTCGTTTTTAGCTGATTTGGTATAGAAACAAGCTATAAATATACGAATTATGAGTTTGTACTTCTTTAATTAGCTAAACAGATCATGATTTTATTAATATCAATAAAATGCAATAGTTAGTTTTTGAGAAATAAGGGGGTGTCACTTTAGGAGACCTGTGTCAGTATCGGCGATTTTCCTCTACGCTTTTTCGTTTTTGTATATCGAAAGTAAAATTATTAGATGAGTATTCTTTTTAGTCTACATGGTAATTAAAGCGATTGATAATAATCAATTTTTTTAACTTTAATGTTTAAGTTGCTATTTTATTTACGATTTTTCAATTATAAAAAAGTATTTCAGTCAACACCGATATGGGGCTTGTTGGGCCAGTATCTCATAGCTAACCTTATAAACTCAGTTGCTTAAATGAAATCTATCTTTATCAATGCTTTTTATTCTATGTTAACGATTAAACATATATTTTACGTTTAATTATTATTATAAAGAGTAAAGATTTTAGTTTTCCTAATTTTGTTAATTAAAGCATTTAAAAAGAAAGAATATTACAAATTATTATATTTAAGATACAAATGATAAAAATTTGATTAATATACACATAATCTTTTCATGTTTTTAATAATATATAACCTCATTAAACGATTATCTTCATGGCTTATCCTTCGAGGATGCTCAACATGCCCCATAGATGGGACATATTGGTCCATTTGTATCTTTGTAATTAACGTAATTTTTTTCTTATTTACGAGATATAATAAGGATTTATAAGTACTTAATTATTGAGCCAGATGAATATGCAACGCTTTAAAGCATTTACCATTAGTCTATTATAATTGTGTGTGAAGATTTATAATAATTTAAAGAAAAAAGTGTCACAACTAGCCCCGCTCTACCCTACTTATTTTTAATATTATAAACACTAAACAATATCTTGATCTTATTACTCAAAATAAATAAATAATCACTATCT